AACCATCCAAGGAAGAAGATTCGGGTGGACGTGGACAGTTCAGAGGTCGTGATCGTGGCCGTGGGGGTCGACGAGGTGGAAGAGGAGCAGGGAATCGGGAAAATCTGACGGTAGCAGAAGAAGAAGAAGCTGAGGTGGTCTTTACTGAGGAGGACCGTGCTCTCCTGGTGATACTAAGGAAGAAGCAGCAAGTAGCAGGGGATGGAGACTTGAGGAGTGGGACTGAGGAGGCATCCACCTCGTTCTTCGTCAGAGGCAATACTGCTACCTATGCTCATCCGACCAAAGGTACTAATGACATACATGCTCTTGCTTCTATGTCTCCCAACAGATCATCAGAATGGATAGTCAATTCCGGCGCGTCTCGACATGTGACAGGTAATGCTAGTGAGTTCTCATCATATACTCACTTAGCATCACCTGATAGTATTCAAACAGCTGATGGTATATTTCAGTCGGTGGTTGGTAAGGGTACAGTCGATTGTACTGGTTCTGTAACTTTGTCCAATGTGTTGCATGCTCCTTCCTTTCCAGTCAATCTTTTGTCCATTAGTGCTATCATCCTGCGTTTGGGACACTCATCCTTTAGTGTTTTAGGTAGATTGTATCCTTCTTTATTTGAGAAAGCAAATAAACAGAAACTTGTGTGTGATGCATGTGAGTTTGGAAAGCTTACTAGAAGCTCTTATGTTAGTTCAGGTCAAAGAAGTTCTCGTGTATTTGACTTGGTACATTCAGATGTTTGGGGGCCTTGTTCCGCAAGTTCTATGAATGGATACAAGTATTTTGTTACATTTATTGATTGTTTCTCTCGTGTGACTTGGTTATACTTGATGAAGAATAAGAGTGAAGTGTTTGGGTGCTTCCAAAACTTTCATAGGAATGTTCAGACTCAATACGGAGCAGTGGTGAAGATATTGAGGTCGGATAATGGGACAGAGTATACCAACAGAGCGTTTGAAGAATATTTGTCAGCTCAGGGAATACATCACCAGACGACCTGTCCATATACACCAGCTCAGAATGGGGTAGCGGAAAGGAAGAACAGACATCTTTTAGAGGTTGCTAGAAGCATGATGATCTCTATGAATGTCCCAGAAACATTATGGGGGCAAGCAGTGTTGACCGCAGCAGCGCTGATCAACAGAACGCCCTCGAGAGTACTGGATTGGAAGTCTCCGTGTGAGACATTAAAGGGAGATAATGGTGGGATTCTTCCACTTAAAGTGTTTGGCTGTGTGTGCTTTGTGAAGGACAACAGGCCATCTGTCGGAAAACTTTCCCCTAGAGCTGTGAAGTGCATCTTTGTAGGATATTCTGCTACTCAGAAGGGATATGTTTGCTGGAGCCCGGTGGAGAAAAGGTTGTTTGTGAGCATGGACGTGCACTTCCGAGAACTCGAGCCATATTACACTCGGAAGGTAACTTCATCTGTTGGTAACTCGCCTAATACTGGAAGTATGAGGCGAGAGGAGGAGAATGGTGAGAGAATGGAGAAATCAATGTCTGAGAATGGTAAGAGATCAGAAAAATCAATATATGTAACGATTCCTTGGGAAGAAGACTTGGTTGAGGAGGAGCAAGAGAATGAAGAAGAAGAGGAGAATGAGACAAGAGGGGTTAGACCAACTGGTTGAGGAGGAGCAAGAGAATGAAGAAGAAGAGGAGAATGAGACAAGAGGGGTTAGACCAACGGCTCTGGGGGAACTACTTACCTATAGTAGGAAGGGAAAACAAATTGCGGGAACAGTACCTACAGTGCCACTGGTGCCTAGTCCCTTGCCAACGCCTGCCCCGACTCCTGAGACACCTACACCACCACCAGATTCCTCTCAAGGTGATTCCATTCCTCTTTCTACTCATCCCACACCAATAACCGTACGGAGGACTACTCGTAGTAATGCGGGAAATCCTCCCGATAGATATGGTTGGGATCTTGCTCAGTTTGTATCATATTCTAACATCCACCCTGCACATGGAGCATTCATTGCATCTCTGGACTCTGTTACTATACCTAACAATTGGCAGGTTGCAAAGAAGGACCAGAAATGGAAAGCTGCTATGCACGAAGAGCTAAGGGCCCTTGAGAAGAACCGCACTTGGGAGCTAGTAAAACTACCAAAAGGGAAGAGAGCAGTTGGATGCAAGTGGGTCTTTACTGTAAAGAAGAATCCAGATGGACATGTTGAACGCTACAAAGCACGTTTGGTGGCAAAAGGATATAGTCAGACATATGGCATCGACTACGATGAGACTTTTGCACCAGTGGCAAAGATGAGCACTGTTCGGACCTTAATCTCACTGGCAGTAAATGGTGGATGGAAGCTACACCAACTAGATGTGAAGAATGTGGATGATATGATTATTACAGGGGATGATGAGAAGGAGATTGCCCAACTCAAAGTGAGACTGGGTAAGGAATTCGAGGTGAAAGATCTTGGTTTGCTTCGATACTTTCTTGGAATAGAGATAGCTCGAGGAGCGGAGGGGATCATCCTATCCAAGAGAAATTATGCACTGGATCTTGTCAAAGAAACAGGAATGTTAGGATGCAAACCTGTAACTACACCGATCGACCAGAAGTTTAAGCTGGGTGCTGAAGCTGGAGAACCAGTTGATCGTGACAGATACCAAAGGCTGGTGGGCAGGTTGATCTATCTGTGTCACACACGTCCCGATATCTCTTTTGCAGTGAGCGTGGTGAGTCGCTACATGCATGATCCAAGGAAGGGTCATATGGACGCAGTGTACCAGATTCTAAGGTATTTGAAGAATACCCCCGGAAAAGGGCTAATCTTCAGGAAGAATGAACACATGAACATTAAGGGCTATTGTGACTCTGATTGGGCTAGCTGTGCTGATGACAGGAGGTCCACCTCAGGATACTGCATATTTATAGGAGGCAACTTAGTCTCGTGGAAGAGCAAGAAGCAGTCGGTGGTGGCGAGATCGACAGCTGAGGCAGAGTATAGAGCTATGGCCTTAGGAGTTGCTGAGTTGCTATGGTTGAAGAGTATGCTGGTGGAGCTGAAGCTGGATCAAGGAACTAAGATGAAGTTGTGGTGTGACAACAAGTCTGCCATCAGTATTGCCAACAACCCAGTGCAGCATGATAGAACCAAACACATCGAGATCGATAGGTTCTTCATCAAAGAGAAGTTGGATAATGGACTACTGGAGCTAAGTCATGTTTCGACTAAGGACCAGGTAGCATATTGTCTGACTAAAGGACTTAGCTCAGTAGATATGATTAGAGGATGTGACAAGATGGGCTTAGTATATATATTTCGCCCATCTTGAGGAGGAGTGTTGACATATTATTATTAGTTAGGACTTATTTATAATTTGTTTAAGGGGCCTATATAAAGCCCAAGAGATCTCATAATGAATTAGGTTTTTTATTTCAATTCTAGAACCATTACTTTGACCATTTGAACTTGTCTTCTATAGGGTTCCAATGGATAAAGAGAGAGGTGATAAATCCTCCCTTCACAGTCAAACTGGTAGTTAGAAAAGAATATATTGTATTCGATCAATACGAACTGAAGAAAATGGCAGACAAGTTTAGTTTGTATATTGGACTTCATCTCCTTGTAAAAATATGAGGAAATATTTCCAATTGAGTGGGCTCCTTAACTGTTCCAATTGACTACAGAAGCATTTTGGTAAGAAGGTGTCCAAATCCTCTCAATTAAGAACAATAGAACAAATGTTATAGTCCCTGAATATATCTGGAAGGAATAATTAAGCAATTGGATTATTCAAAGAAGACAGTGACATCTTAGATGTCCCAACTTAGATATTTTAATTTTCATTAATTATGCATATATAAGTCAAAGGTAATTTATAACTTTACAAAATTAATAATTAAATCAATTTAATAAAAATTTAATGTAACATTCCAAGTTTATCACTTGCAGTTAAGATGGGGGTAAATTTTAGGGAGGAGCACAAGTTTTATAATGATTTGCAGAGTAAAACTAAAACATTCGTATGATTTATTTCCCCTTTTTGAAAATAAGTTAAATATAATATAATTTGAACATAGTATATGTGAACTATGTGCCAGTATACAATGGAAGTTAAAGGATTCTTTTAAGGGAGCTTTATTTTTTTCAAAATTTTCTTCCTTCATGTTTCTGATCAAAATGGGGAAATGATCATTCTGTTTCATTGACAAGATAATTTTGAAACACAAGTTAGTACTCCATATCTGGCAAAGAAAATTATTAAAGCGCCAAAAGACTATCTTCCTCACATTGAAAAGGAAATATCAAGATAGAATCATCATATTTATATCGCCACTCAACTTTATTCCTCTCCTTGCTTCACTACCTTGCAGCATTTCCAGTCTATACATATGCGTATCCCAAATATATATGATATAGTACATCATTCAAACTTTCACATAAACTAATGCTAATTAATCTAATTAATAAATGTTTTTATAGTTGTGATCCCCTAAACCCTAGCTGTCCTCTAAAAAACTCCAATATCGTTTGATTTGCCTTTGCATTTTTCAGCACTGGTTAGGGCCGATGGAAAAAAGCTAAGCCTTTCCCACCACAAAACGGACGATTCTATATACTGACCCTTAACCAGCCACCCATCAAGTTCAAAGGCAGAATCCGAAAAGCAATTGGTAATGACTAAAATACCCCTATGATCTACTTGGGTTTGTGTTTCACTGGGGAGTGAATTGAGGGTAAATTAGGATATAGAGTGTCATTAAGGCTCTTTCAGCCCACTTTTAGTACATGAAGTGAGTTGTCCTTGAATACCAAAATTTTAACAGATTTTTATGTGGTTGAGTTGTAGAATAAGACTTTGACATCTTTACAGTTTAAACTATACAAATCGTGTTGTGTATATAAAGCCTCAACTAAGTGCACATAATTAGCAACCAAAATCTGTGGCTCTCAGCCTCTCCCTCCCTCCCTCCCTCTCTCTTTCTCTGCCCTCTACTTGACCTGCCTGGGATACTCTACAGTCACAAATTTATGGCCAAAGAAGAGGACTTGAAGGTAAAAA